CCACTGAGCTAAATCCCTGGCCCAAAACACAAACTTCTAAAATTGGACATGGGCGGGGGATTTAGCTCAGTGGTTCTGCCGTCTGCTGCAAGCACAAGGACCCGAGTTTGATCCTCAGTACCAAAAAATTAAAATTAAAAAAAAAATTGGACGAATCTTGTATGCCTACAAGTGAAGCTGGATCTATTAGCAATGGTTTACTACTCTTTTAATTTGTTTCTGAATAAGTTTGCTACAGTTTTATTTAAGATTCCATACACACACACACACACACACACACACACATGTCCACCTGCTCTATATTATTAATCAATAAATACACTTGATCTTAGCCAAAAGGCTGAGAAGCGATTTATTAATCAATAAGTAAAGGAGATGGGGATGACAATTTATTTTTGCCTATTTTTATGAAGTTTCATGCTAACAGAAATAACAATCTGCAAGATTTCCTTCTTTTTCTATTTTAGTTAAACAGCTAAAACAGAATTGTCTGATTCTTGAAATGGGAAGGACTTACTTCTAAAACCATCTGGTTCTTCCCATCTCCCCTAGTGATTAAACAGAGTCAGAAATTTTTCTTGGCTGTATGGCCTGTGTCCTGCTGTCTAATGCCTGAGGTCTGTGGCCTCCTCTTCGCAGCCTTCACCAAAACGGATTGAGGGTCACGCTCTCCTTGGATATAGGAGACCTGAATACTGTATTATGTTAGAGGACCCTGTGAAGGCTTAAAATCCTTCAAAACAATCAGAAATACTGGTTAGTAGGGCCCCTTATTTATTCCTGGTATTATCTGAGTTTTCCTGAGCTTTTTTTTTTATAATCTTATACATTGTACGTTACAGTAAGGTATGCTTTGTCTTTTGATTTTTTTGTGATCATTTTCTACTTAACAGTGTATTTGTTTCAAGCATACCACTTCCGAATTTCTTTGAATGTTTACTTTAAATTTCTATATTCCTACACAATATTACCATACATATGTTAAAACGTTACACATATATACTACATGTATTTTAGTGTTGGGATTATTTTCAATTTATCATACATATGAGATTCAACATGCTGAAATTATCTTGTTTGTTTTTTCTCTGCTATATTGTATTCTATCACAGGACAGTACCACAGATTAACAGTGCTTGATTATGAACATTTGGGGATTATTCTTAAACTTTATGATTATAAAATAATATGAAAGGAAACAGCCTGCAATGCATGGTGGCACATGACTGTAATCACAACACTTGGGAGGAGGAGACAGGAGAATTGCCATGAGCTAAAGGCTAACCCAGGCTGAACATCGATTAGCTCAAGGCCAGACTGAACTACACAGGGTGACCCTGCCTCAAAAACAAACAAACAAAACAATCTTCTACATTTCTTCTTAGGTATAATGTATACATGTAAGAGTTACTTTATGATAGTAGCTAGAATTGTATTTCTAACTTTTCAATAAAACAGATCTCTCAAAAGACTGTAGCAATCGTTTTTTGTTGTTGGTGGTGGTGTTTTTTTGAGACAGGGTCTCACTATGTAGTTGGGACTGACCTGGAAATCACTATGTGGCCCAGGCTGGTCTGGAACTCACAGCGATCCTCCTGCCTCAGCCTCCCAAGTACTGGATTACAGGTGTACGCCACCACACCTGGCAATCATTACATTATTGATCTTTTATGAAAAATATATTAAGAGTTCTCTTCTTATGACTGCACATTTGTCAATCTGATGGATGTGCAACAGCAGCCACAAATTTGAATGTGTAATTCCCCAAATACCAGAGAAGAACCACTTTTCTTGGTTATTTTCACCTTTTTGTGAGGGAATTATATTTATAACTTTAGCCTTTTTTTCCGATTAAATGGCTTGACATTTTTTGTCTTACTCAACTGTAATAGTTCTGGAATATATTGTGAACATTACCTTTTCACAGTATAACAAAACAACAAATGTACCTTTAACCGGTCCATGTCATAAGTCTTTTAGAAAAAAAGGAAGCAGGTAATAAAACACAAACCTTAAAACTGTAATTATCTCTCAAGAGAGGCAAGGTAATGAGTGAAAAGCTGATGTAATCACAATGTTCTTATTTTTTAAATTGGGTGATAAATTCACAGGCATTTGTTTCACTATTATCCATTACAGCTCATAGACATTATGTAAAATCTTACTTATGCATCATTTCATAAACAAAAAATTTCCCTCTCTATAGGCCATTATTTAAAAAATATTGTTACTGTTTTTTTGTTTGTTTGTTTGTTTGTTTTCTGAGACAGAGTCTCACTATGTAGTTGAGACTGATTTGACCTGGAACTCACTATGTAGCCCAGGCTGGTCTCAAACTCAAGATGATCCTCCTGCCTCAGCCTTCTGAGTGCTGGGATTACAGGATGCCTCCTGAGTGCTGGGATGTGCCATGCCCAGCTTGTTATTGTTAGATATATAGACTAGACAGCTCTTAAAGCTTTGTTAATTACAATTTAAACATTTCCATTAAAAAATTTTTATATGAATAAAGAGTTTGAATTTCTATGCATTCTTAGGATCATGTTTAGAAATTTATTGCCTATCTAGTTGACCATGATACTTCAGAAGTGGAAGTCTTATTATTAATTCCTAATTTTCTTGAATAATGGTCCTCAATTTGGGGGTGGAGGACACCAGGGATTGAACTCAGGATGTCGCACTTGAGAGGCAGGTGTGGCACCACTAAGATAAATCCCTGGCACCTACTCAATTTTTTTAAAAAGCCAGTGTTCTACCTCATCATATTTTAAAAGATGTCTTTTGCGTATATTACCAGATGTCACACTAATACAATTCACAACAAAATTTTACATATATAAGGAACACGTTAAGACTAATCATAATGAAGTCTGATCCCCGATACCAAGGGGAAAAAAAACAAAAAACATTAGTCATAATGAGAAAAGCAGGAAAGAAAAAAATCTGGACATTCAAAAATCTAAATTCCATCATCAACTACAATGATTAATACTTGAAATCTATGAGATATATGATTTAATAATTTTAAGTTACATTCAACTATGGGAGTTTGGTTTATTTTGTTATTATTATTTTGTGTTTTGGTTTTGTTCTTTGGCAGTCTTGGGGATTGAACCCAGGCCATTCACACTAAGTTATGTCCCTATATTGCCCAGGCTGGGGTTGAACTTGTGATCCTCCCTTAGTCTCTTAGCATGTTGGGATTACAGGTGCGCACCGCCACACCAAGCTAATTATGGGAATTTTATTTGGCAACATTCAGCGTAGCTCCTGTTTCAGAAGCGTTTGTCACCAGAGATGAGACTGCACATAATTGTCAGGATGATCACGGACTAGAAGGATGTTAAGACAGAATGGTTTGGGGGCAAATCTGGAGGAAAATATAAGAAAAAGCCAGAGAAACACAGGCAGGATTGCCTCTGACTCTCTTCTGGCTCTACCTTGATGAAAGCAACCACCCACTCAGCTCTTCTCTCCCATGGTGCTCAGTTCTGTAGCACCTTGTTTAATCATGTTTTTCAACTGTAGGATGATTTAAGTCCGCTCCATCTGTGGAGACCTCTACTGATAGCAATTATATTCAAAAGGAGAAGAAAAGAATCATTAAGATTTATCTGGGGAAATCACCAAAGAAAACTAGAAGCAGATAAAAAAAATGTTGCAAAACAAAAAAGTTTAGTGGGCATAAATTTACTCTTTTCTTTCTTTTTTTTTTTTTGAGGCAGGGTCTCACTATGTAGCACAGGCTGACCTCGAAATCACAGCAGTCCTCCTGCTTCAGCCTCCCACCTCCCAAGTGCTAGGATTACAGGTGTGCACCACCAGACCTGGCTAAACTTATTTTTCTTGATAATTTTTTATTATAAAACAGATGTAAGAAGTAAGATAAAATATATCTATCTTCTAAAAATTATAGGATTATACCACTGGAATAAGCACTACAGAGGATAAAGGAATGGTAGAATGATTCTTTGTTTTTATACTCTTGGATTATATTTGCAGTTTTTCATCGTATCTGTACATTAGTTTTGTCATAACTTTTATTTATTTTATTTTGTTTGTTTTTTTGAGACAGGGTCTCACTATGTAGTTGAGACTGACCTGGAACTCACTATGTTTCCCAGGCTGGTCTTGAACTCACAGTGATCCTCCTGCCTCAGCCTCCGGAGTGCTGGGATTACAGGCGTGCACATTCCTATGACCTGGAACCCTATGTTTCCCAGGCTGGTCTTGAACTCACAGTGATCCTCCTGCCTCAGCCTCCGGAGTGCTGGGATTACAGGCGTGCACATTCCTGGCTTTGTCATAATAACTTTTCAAGAGACTAACTAGGCCTTTTCAAATTTATTGGTTTTTTTTTTTGTTTTGTTTTGTTTTTTAAACCATCTGCTCTGGTTACAGAGTTCTTGGTTTACTTGGCAGCTGCATAATCTCTGGCCAGGCACTCAAATCTAAAAATGGCTGCAAGACTATAAGGCAGATCTTTAGCATAGTACCAGGAACATTCCAGAATATTAAAAACACGAGGGGTGGTTCTTTGTGTTCCAATAAAAATGCCCTTCATGTCTTCCTTGCGTCCCTTCCTTCTTCCCACTACTGGGGTTTCAATTCAGACCCTAGTACATGCTATGCAAACACTCTACCACTGAGCTACATACATTTATTTCAGATAAGGTTTCTCTATTTGCCCAGAGTAGCTTCAGCCTTGTGATCCTCCTGCCTGAGCCTTCCAGGTACCCAGGATTATAGGCAAGCACCACCATACCCAATTAAACATGTTTTTTATTTTAAAAACTTGTATTTTCATATACCTAGCCTCTTTTGATCTTCATTATAATTCTGTATCACAAATATGAATAGAAACCATGAAGAATGAAATCTTTAATATGACCTCTTGCCTTTCATTATTCATCCACTAGCATTAAAACAATACAAAACAAAAGGAAAAGGAAAATAAAAAGTGCAATGTTGGTCATCCACAAGGCTCAGAATTCACTTACCTGGTATGTCCCAAGGATTCTCGCCATATTGGAAGCATCACAACTGGTTTAACTGCACACTCCAAAATAGCTAAAGCCAATGCAAATTCTCTGGGTTTGCTACACATCTGAACTGCCTTGATCCAATTTGCTCTATATTTCAGAAGAAAAGTAAGAAACATTTCATTTGGTTTATCTTAAATTAAAAGCATAATAGTTGCAATTTACAATGATTCCATCTTACAGTGCATGTGAGAAATGTTTTTAGATGGCAGACATGACTATACTGCTCTCTGAAGTTTCTGACTCACAGAGTCATGAATTTTAAACATTGCAAGGCATTCTACACATCATTTAACCTTCCCTAATTCCTTCATCTTCTATGATTTTATGTAACTCTGGTCTGTACTGGGTTCCAAGGATAAAAACTGATTTCCAAAACTCATTCAAATGCTACTGGTGGTTCCTTCACTCAAAAGCACACTGTGCCTCTACCTTTATCACTGTTTGTTGACCAAAGTGATTTCATTTAACTCACTGACATTTAAAATGTAGGTACATGCCTACAATAATAGTTTTTAAGTATGTAGTATATTTATAGCAGTAAATTAACCTTAGTTTCTTTTACCTGTGTGAAGCCCAATTGGGATGAAGAAAGGATGAAGGGATGTTGTTTTCTAGTTGGGTAATGGTCAGTCTCAGAGTAGATATAGTAAGGACTTTGGACCCATGGACAGAACCATTCCATTTGAACTCTCCTGCTGGAGTCAAACAGAATTTATGTGCAAGATGCCTTCTTTTATCATGGTCTTCCCTGTGTTGGTGCTTATTCAAAGCAAATGAATTGGTGGAGTACTGATTATGGTAGACACGGTACTTCCCTTCTTGACCCAATTTAAAGTAATTGTTGATATTTCCTTTCATGACCACTTCCTTTTTGGTGCTCAACCGTGAAATTTCTCCTTGAGAGTTAACTACTAGTACCTGAATAGGAAAATTGAAAGATTTCATTATTTAGCCAAAGATGCAAATTTATCAACTGTCTTTCAATAATTATAATCTATACTCCAAGTAAGTTAAAAATACATGTTATGACTGAACTATTTGAAATGCTAAGCTAAAATGAAAGTTGCTTACAATTAAACATCTAAGATATGCCTGCAAAAAGAAAACTAATATTTATTAAATTTTGTATGTCAGACATTACTGAGTAGAATGTTTTTCTAACACTGGAGATCAAATTCAGGGCACTGAGTATGCTAGTAAGCATTTTACCATGGGGCTACAACCCTTAGCCTGCTAATTCCTACTTTCATGAATCTCAGCTATACACATGAAAGTATGTGTGTTCTGTATTATTTACCTATCATTACATCAAATTCATAATTCATTCTTTAGGGAAATGGGGAGGAACTGCATGTAATACCACCTAAAAATATAATCCTAAAAATACTTTTTCTGCTATTTCATTCTAGCTTTAGTACAAGAGCGCATGGATACTTTAAAATGTTTTTGAAAAGTTGACCCCAACCCTTTAGTGGATTATGAAATAAAACAAGCCTTAATTAACTTTTAAAGAAATAAAATAGCCTTGCATAGTGGCACATGCCTGTAATCCCAGCACTCAAGAGGCTGTGACACCCCGATTGTCACAAGTTCGAGGCCAGCCTGAACTGCATAGTGAGACCCTGACTCAAACGAACAAAAAATAAAATAGACTAGGTAGACTATACGAGAAAATACCAGAATGCTTCTGATGTAGCAAGGTATGTTCTATTTCAGGAAGTTTTTGAATATGTGTATCAGGCTACTATGAAAGAAATATCTCATTGAGAGTCAAAGTAAAAAGAAAGTTCAAAAGCCAATGGTAAGCCAGGCAAGGTGGGGATCACCTGTTATCCCAGCACTCTGGCAAGAAGACTGCAAATTCAAGTCCAGCCTGGACAACTTAGTGACTTGGCAAGACCCAGTCTCAAAATAAAACATTTCAAAGGAAAGGATAAAAGGGGGGTGTGTGTGGCTTAGTGTGAAGGCTGATTCAATCCTTTGCAGAACAAAAAAGAAGAAAACCAATGACTTAAGCACCTTGTCTGATGCCAAGAAAAGAACACTGTATGTTCTTGCTTATCTATCCTTCAAATAATTCATAACCCTGGGAACAAATTTGTGGCCATTATTCTGTCATCACAGCTAGGTAAGGGACAAAGTGAATCCTAGTTTTGATCCTCTTGTACATAAACAGAGCTGAGATGCAGTGCGATCCCAGGCACTGTACTGTGCTATCAAAGGGTTTCCCCTGTCCTATTAGCTGCAGTTCTACAAGGTACTCATAGTAAACAATCCATAGCTCTTTACAAAAGCCCACAAATAACCCACTCATTACTATATGTGAAAAAGAGTTTCTCTTTTTAGAATTATATACACTAAAACTGATCATGTTATATCACCAACTTACAGCATTTCTATACAGGGACTGACATGTGGATATCTAATTATACATATAAGCTAAACAGTTTTTCTAATTACCCACCACACTCTTGGAAATAGAGAAAACTACAGTTCAAAAGTAGGTTCATAATTTTCCTATCTTTATTTATTTTTATTTTTTTGTACCGGGGATTGAACGCAGGACCTTACACTTGCAAAGCAAGCGGTGGAACTACTGAGCTAAATCCTGGCTCCTACCTTTAATTTAAAGATATATTTACAATTACTCATATTCCAGGGATTTTTGTTTTAAACAGAAAAAACAAAAACAAAAACAAAAAATACCGTACCTCTTTACCCTCCTTAAATAATTTATTTGCCTCATGGGCTGCAGCTGCTACTTGCTGGTTCTTCAGCTGACTAAGTTTGCTGTCTGGATTTCGTAATCTGGTGATAATTCGAGTTGCGCCAGATGCTCCTCTTCCAGCTCCAAGAGAATCACTTATTTCCCCATTAGACTTCTCAGATCTGAAATCGCCTATTATTAAATGAAAAAGCCACAAAGTAATTGCTGACAGTAATGAAATAAGAACAATGGCTTACTTATCCAAAACTCCTATGTGGTGTACATCTAAGTTCTAGAAAGCAAACAGGTAAGGTCCTTGAATAGCCAAAGCAAATGTCATTAATTCTTAAGTGTTTTACTTAAAAGAAAACATATCAGAACACTATGTGAGTCATTGCTTCACAAAAAAAAAAATACAACTGCGCCAGATTATGTTTAGAAACTATATTATAAGACAGGAGGGGGTTGCAACAAATTTACAAGTAACAAATATAACTCAAAATGTATACTAATAAAATGTCGCCTTATCTATTCAATATGGATTTCTACATTAAAAGAATGTAACTGATTTTAGAAAGATTTCTTCTGAAATTGTTTAAATAGCTAGTTTTGACATTATAAACATAAATGCTAAATGAATTTTCCTCTTATTAAACTTATTAATGTAAAGATCAACTAAATTAGCTTTTTTAATATACTAAAGATCTCTCAGTATTTTCACAGTAATTTAATTTTTTAAGGTGATTCAGTACCTCAGGATCACTTTCTCCTTTGAATATCCATGAATCTCACTTTGTCTGAAAATGTCTATAAGTACTAAAACTACTTCCAATTCCCATTGGCTTTATAAATAAGCTTTAAGAAAATTAATACAGCGTGGCATTGGTGTAAATAAAAGGACAAAGAATTTACTACGTTATATAGTAAAGATGGCATTTTAAGTGAGGAGAGATAAAGAACAGGCTTCGGAAAACTGGCTGTGCATTTGTTGGGGTGACAATTTAGTAAATATTTATTTATTTGTTCATTTAATCTGATCCATTCCCTTCTTTCCTTTGGGGAAATGCTCCCCTCTCTTAATCATGATTCTGCCAGGACTATAAATATAGTAACTTGTCTCTCTGGGGTCAACAACAGGACCCAGCTCGGCCAGACAAGAGCACACAGTGACTGTCCCAGGAACTAGCTATGTGGTCCAGCCAGTCAGCATCCTACTCCACTTTGTAAAATCAGGAGATGGAGAAAGAGTTTCCGTTCCTTCTGTTAGTGAGCAGGAAGGGTATAAATTAGGAGCAGACTACTACTCCCACAACATGGAGAAACATGTCACTAACAAGAAACAGTGAGCCCAGAGAAGGAAGAAGGGAGTCGGGGAAACAGCAAGGGAAAGTAAGAGGGGGAGTGAGAGGGATAGAAAACACACTTTAACTTCAGCTTTCTGGACCCAATAATGAACCTGAAGCTGTCACTAGCCATGTACTTCCTTTCAATTTTGTCAATGAAGCTTCCTTTTGCCTAGGCAAGTTTAATGGATTTTAGTCAAAAACAAAGTCCCAAATATCTAGTAGAGTATTTTAAGATTTTGACTCAAAAATATGGCACTGAATAAATCAAGATACAGCAGGGTTAGTGTCTTGTCATGTCAGACTGGAAAATTGGTAACCCTAGATGTGTGGAAGTCAAGTTTGTCAAACATCAATCATCTCTTGAGTCTCAGATTATTACTTTACACAGGCTAAAGTTTTATGTCAAGACACTGAACTAAGTGGCCACTTCTTGCAACCCATCTGTACTATCCACCAATAAAGACTTTAGAGACATTGTTTGGTTTAGGTGGGATTTCCTGAAGACAGAAAAGGAACAACACAGAACTTTTTAAAAGTGGCCCCTCAATGTAGAGCCAACAACTAATACTACTCAGAATCAATCCTTTGCCACTTGCTCAGTTTTGTGCAAATAAGGGAAAGGAGAAAATTCACCCCAGAGTAAGACCTAAAGGACAGAGCTATAAACCAGGGCTAAGAGTAAAGGTCTTTACTGAATACCTTTTGCCCAAGGGTCATACTCATCATATTAAAAAGGAATGAATCACTGCTGTGCCAACTAGTGGCACAGAATACATTTATGCCCTCCTCAGCTCTATAACTCATTATTTAACGATGCTGGGAGGCAGAAGCGTAGGCAGTATCTATTCATCTGAAGGCTACAGCTATCAGCCTACCAAGAAGACAAACAAACTGAGGAAGTGAGGGGTGCACCTTTGGAGACCGACCCTAGCACAAGTTACTAAGCATTAGGTAATAGCAGGATATTTACAAATCTCTAAGTATTGCCAGAAAAACTTCAAACCTGCCAAACTGGGATGTGTGGCTATTAATCCCTACAGCAATTCCCAGCACCCATCCCCAGTAAGAGCCAGCAGGAATTAGGCTGCTAATACAGAATGGCCTCCAGATGGGGAAGTCTCACACTCGACTTCACTTGTCACTCATGGCATTCTCCCAGGTTTATCAAAGAGCCCCTCCACTGGAAGAATAGTGAGTATTATAGGAAGCTAAATTCATGATTTGGCTCTCAGATTGTGAGATCAAAGGAAGTCACACTCAGACCTGTTATAATTAATGTACAACATACAGAAATCCTAGGTTTAGGTCAAGATATAATTCTAATTACTGGTTTTAACTGTGGGACAGAGGTTATTGAGTTTTTTAGTTGTGGGTGAGATCTGTGTACTGTGTTAAACAGAGGCATTTCTTTTAATGCTATGTATGGGATCTAGTGTGAGTACACATGTATGTGCTGAGCCACCCAAGGATGGAGCTGTAGACATTTATGCAGTCTACCTTCACAGAAGCCCTCTTTCTTTGGAAAACCATTCCGACCCCACTCCAATCACATACTTTGCTGGAGTCATCAATTATAATACCTTGCCTGCCCTGGCCACAGGGATGAGAACAATAGATCCAAGATAGGCCACTCAAATTCCTTCCTCAAGGACTTTTGATTTGGAGCAGGAGTAGGGGCCTTGCCTTTGGGTCACAGACCTTGAAAAGATATGAGTACAAATTGCTGGTGCCATCTTTCCTGCCACTTGGAAAAAGCCTGTCTGTATTAGGAGAGAATGAAATTAAAACATAAACATATGCAGATCCAAAGGTGAAAGAGAAAGAGAGGAAGACAGTCATTATATCTGGGGGGCAGTTACACCAAATGATGACGGCTCAGACTTTATAATTACATCAGCTAGTTAGCAATAATTAAAATTACTCCTCATGTCAGCTAGTTTAAGCTGGTTTGGTCACTTACAATTTAGAAAATTCTAATTAAAACAGATCCCCAGTTCATATCACATAGAAAATTAGATTAAAAACAAAGAAGTATTATGAGAAATTACTGTAAAAATGTGTACACTCTTGGGATAGGGGTGATCCTCCTTAATGAGACACAAAATCCAGAGGTTCCTGAAGAAAAAGATTTAAAAATTTAACTATATAAAAATATAAAGACTCTCAAAAATATGTATATATAAAGACTCTCGTATGACCAAACAGCAGATTTAAAAACAACTTCTATATAAATATATGAAAAATAAAAAATAGCCATAGTACATAAAGCATTCCTAAAACTAAGGAAAAATGTAAAAAAGTGAATAGAAGAGAGACTAAAGAGATGGGTAAAATTCACAGAAAGTTCAATAAATACATGAAAAGAAATTCAACCATATTGGTAAGCAGAGATATGCAAATTTTTAAATGAAACACTTTACCACTGGCAAAAGTATGAGAGGGTTAATGATATTGAATTTAGGTCTAAAAGTGTAGAAATAGACATGTATGTGAATAATTGGTATAGATCCCTTTTACTGTGCAACAAAGCATTAACCAATACTATTTTTAAAATGTACCTATCATATGACAAGCAATTCCATTTAATGTTACTACACTGCTAGAAATACTTGCACAAGTACACAAAGGTATATATATGTGTTGAAGATGTTAGAGTAGTATTTGTAATAATCAAATATCATGCAGCAGTTAAAAAGAAACTTAATTCTTAACATGAAAAGTTCCCCTAACATGTTACTGAGAGGAAAAAGATGCAGAATAAAACATGCAGAATGATCCCACTTATGTTAAAAAACAAAAACAAAAAACAAAACAATTTGTAAAAAGCCCGTGTAAACATACATACATTAATGTAACTATAGGGAAAAAAATCTAAAATGTTACACACCAAACTGTTGATGGTGTTACACGTGAGGATAGGCATGAAAAGGACTGAGTTTTTTTTTTTTCCTTATTCTTCCTCGGTACTTTTGTATTTTTTAAGCAGTGAATTCAAGTGTTATTTGTGTTAAAAACAAAAACAAGAAAAAAAATGAAAGGAAAATCTTAACCCACCCCCAACAAACCTTCAATTTAAAAAATTCAAAAAAAAAAAAAAAAAGAAATAGAAAAAGAAAAAGCTCCCTTTAATGGATTAAGTGTGTTCTTACCTATCTCTTCTTGAATAGAGACAGGTGTATGAGATTCTCTTTCTCCATTTTCAGGATCATCAGCTGCCTTAGCAGATTCACTCTGGGAAGAATTTAGTTCACTGCTGCTGTTACTGTTTTCCAGATTAGGCTGGATGGAGGTAGTGGTAGCACTAGTGTTACTGCTGTCACATGTCTTGCTAGATTCTTCTAGAAAAATAGAATATCTGATTTTTAAATTGGAAATTACACAAAAACTAACTGTCAGAAAAGGCATTTGTTTCAGGATTTCATTACAAAGCTGTTTCAAAACTGAAGACTGATCATGTATGAACCATGCAGTGTATGAAAAGAAACTGGTAAGCACCACCCTGTGAGATTTTAAGGTTTCTCAGTCTATTAATTCACTAACTCACAGACTCTTATTATCTACAGCACAAAACAGTCTTTGAGATACCCCAGTGCTGAAGAAAAAAACAAAAACAAAAACTAAAAAACAACAGCTATATCCCAACAGTTTTGCTGAGGTAGTATCTCAGAGCCTCAGCTTATATTCTTACTCTTCCAATGTATTCCAACAGTATCACACACAGAATTGAACAGGATTACTTATCTCTAAGGTTTTCTGCCTGAATTCGACACCCCCAGGTAAGGCCTAAATGTGATTAACTTTTTAGTACAGTGTAATAACATGACTAAGAGTTTAGTTCCTAAAAGTGTATCCAAATTAATTTTACCATGAACTGAATGCCTAAATCTTCCTGTGGTACCTCAGAAAAAGTCTCTGTTTGCACTCTGTCTGTCATTAGTCAGATACTCTTCAAGCCACTGAAATAGGGAAGGGGCTGACAGTGTGTCACAATGGCTACCTGTAATGAGCTCCTAAGACTGCCTTCTGAAGGAAAACCCAACATCTCATGGAACATAGGTATAATCACAAAAGAAATGAAAGTAGCCTAATTTAAGCTAAGAAATGTACAAAATTAAACTATTTGGTGACACCACTTCTCAAGTTTTCAAAATGGGTGAAATCCCTAATATACTCAGGTGGAGAGAAAGGCTGTTAGCAGGTAATTCTCACACTCTTGTTTTTTTTGGTTGTTTTTTGTTTTTTGTTTTTTTTTTTTTTTGGTACCGGGGATTGAACTCGGGTCCTTGAGCTTGCAAGGCAGGCCACCAAACCGCTGAGCTAAATCCCCGGCCCTACACTCTGTTTTGAATATGGAAAATGGATAAAAAAGAACTGACAATTTCCGGAAAAATTACATATGCATTTATTCTCAAGTTAGAAATCCCATGTCTAGAAATCTATCTCAAATACACCAGCAAAAATACTGAATTACTTAGCCACTCAGTGAAGCATTATTTATAATGCCAAAAGAGGCCGGGCATAGTGGTATATGCCTGCAATCCCAGCACTCAAGAGGCTGAGGCAGGAGGATCAGAACAGAAATGGCTACCTATAAGGGTAGAAAAAGGTGTGATCAGTGAGAAAGGAAAGGGATGAAAGTGAAAATTCTCTGCATATATCCAGCTATGTGGTTTTGTAATAACGTAAGTGTTTTACATTTTCAAACATCAAAGCTAGAAATGCAATCATCACTAGGCTGGGTATGGGGGTGCACACCTGTAATCCCAGCACTCGGGAGGCTGAGGCAGGAGGATCACTGGAGTTGGAGGCCAATCTGGGCCACCTAATGAGTGTAAGGCCAGCCTGAACTACACAGTGAGACCCTGTCTCAAAAAAAAAAAAAAAAAAAAAAAAAAAAATCAAAATAAATTAACATAGGCATACAATCACTAAAATTTAAAAACAGGGCTGGGATTTTGGCCTTCCTCACAAGCTCAAGGGCCCAAGTTGGATCCCTGGTACAATAAATAAATGAATGAATAAAATTTTAAAATAAATGCATTATCTGTAGGTCAGTTTTACAGAACTACATAAAGTAAATAATTACTTCAAGTGACTATATAAAATGTAGCATTTTGGGCTGGGCATGGTGGCGCACGCCTGTAATCCCAACACTCCGGAAGCTGAGGCAGGAGGATCGTTATGAGTTCAAGACCAGCCTGGGCTACATAGCGAGTTCCAGGTCAGTCTCAACTACATAGTGAGGCCCTGTCTCAAAAATCAAAAAACAAAAAACAAACAAAAGAATGTAGCATTCTGATTGTATGTCCTAATGAGAAATATAGGACAAGTAAATATAGAAATAAATATAAGACAAAGAACTATACCGCACTGATACATGCTCACCCATGCTTATAGCATCACAGTTTGTAATAGCTAAAACCTGGAAACAGCCTAATTGCTCATCATCTGGAAACCAGATAAAGAAGTGGCTTTTTTTTTTAATGGAATACTACTCAGCCATAAAGAATGAGAAAATAGAGACATTTATATCTAAATGGATGCACATCCAGGCCATAATCAAGTGAAATTAATAGGACACACGTGCAAATACTGAAGACTTTCTCTGGTGTGATAAACTAAAAGTGTAAATAAGGATCAAAATGTGTAATTGATATTGTGTAATAGGAAAAAAAGATCTAAAGATGTAGGGGAAGTGGGAGGGGTAGGGGAAAAGTAAGAAGGGAAAAGAAAAAATAAGAGAAAAGGAAAAAAAATGGATACAAAGTCTTTGTAAACAGGGAAGGGTGGAGGGGGTGAAGGGAGGGCAGAGGAATAGGGAAAAAATAAGAACCAAGATACTTCATGTAAAGGTACAAGATCCTAATGATGAATGCAACTGTATTGTATACCTAAAATGTACCAATAAAGAAAAAATATTTAATAAAATAAAGAGCTACAGACAATTTTTAACTGCTACTCAGGGTTTTTACTATCAAAAGTAATACCGGTATTAGGAAAACACTATATATAACATAACAATGCACATTCTGATATAAATGTTCTCTATTAAGACAAAGCAAACATATAACTGAGCTACTGTGGTTAAAACCTAAGGCTTTTAGTGTAAGGGAAAAGAAGTAAATACAAATGTAAAGACAAAGAAAACAAGCAAGTCATCCTCAATCTGAACTAGAAATGTCAATGTAGACTTATGGTTTTCTCTCTTTTTTTTTAGAAAATATTTTCTATTTCCCAGGGGTTTTTGCGGGGAGAGGGGAGGGAGACTAGGCCTTGCATGTAGTTCAGGTAGGCTTCAAACTCACTAGCCCATACTAGTCTCAAACCCCCAGATAACCTCCTGCATCAGCCTCCCAAATATTGGGATTACAGGCATTGTGACACCGCATCTGGCTTCCTAATTCTTTTATATTTTTGTTTTGTCTTGGCACTAGGATTGATGCCACAGCCTCAAGGGCACTACACACATGCTCTCCGACTGAGCTACATTCCTATCCCTTTTTAAATTTTTCTTTTGAGCTGGGGATTTAGCTCAGTGGTTCTGCTGCCTGCCTCACAAGCACAGGGACCCAAGTTCAATCCCAGCACCAAAAAAAAAAAAATTTTTTTTTCTTTTGAGACAAGTCTCACTCAGTTGCCCAGGCTAGTCTCAAACTTGTGCTCATCCTGCCTCAGCCTACTGAGTACGTGGGATTACAGATGTGCACCACCATATCTGGCTTGCCCAGTGTATTTCCTAACGCCATCCTCCAAAGAAGCCTAGAACCAGTGGGAGCCCAACAGCAGTAAGTACCTCCAGGATCAGACTGTGGTCTCTAAATACTATTCCCCACTAAAAGGAACTAAGGCTTCTTGGGAGGAAAAAAAAAAAATTCCAAGTCTGGTGCAGAACTATCGTTATTCCAAAAAGCAAGGAAGCTACTGACCACTGAGGATATAGCAAAAGGACTCAAAAGCCAACACGAAGACATTTCCACTGGTCAATAGAAGCAAACTAAATGATAACTGCAAGTAAATGAAACAAATGATATGAAAATATCCATAAAACTGATGTGTCAAAAAAGAAAGCCAAATCCCTCCTCCAAGACTTTGAAACTCAATCACCACTAAAGATAAGTGGATGCCAACTACTGATTCTGAAAGTTTGAATTTAAGAGAAGCTAAGCATTACTTTACTATTCCTGCTCAAACTCTCGTGTTTTCAAATAATGTCAGTTAATGAGAGAAGATATTTTTTACAGAAAAATTCCAATTTAAAAAAATACAAAGAAAGAAATTAAGATCTGTATTGTAGCCTCCAAATAGATACTTGTTTCTGGAAAGATCACAACCAGTGACTGAAAGGTTGATAGAGAACCCATAATCTCATTACCTTAACTTTGATCAAACTTACATTATCAGTCTTAGCATTTCTAGAAGTGGAACAACCAGGCATGATGAAATATGAAATACCTAGTACATTGCTTATGAAGTACTCTTGCCAAAACCAGCTCAATTTGAATCTAACCAACCCTTTACTATAAATTAAAGAACACTGTAAAAAAAAATCAATAGAAAAATCCTAAAGGTAGACTGTACCAGAGAGGACAGACTAGGATTTATTAAAAAGTCAACAGCAGGGCTGGAGATTTAGCTCAGCGGTTCGGTGGCCTGCCTTGCAAGCTCAAGGACCCGAGTTCAATCCCTGGTACAAAAAAAAAAAAAAAAAATGTCAACAGTATTTGTTTTGTTTTGTTTTTTTAAGTCAGGGAAGAAGAAAGTACTCCAGACTGAGACTTGAGAAATGTAAAACAATGTAAAACGCATGTTCTCATGAGTGAACCCTCTCATTTGCAGTTATTTCAAACATATCAAAAAATTTTAAAAGGATGTTTTGTGAGGAAATTTGAATATGGACGAAATGTTATGTAACAGTAAGCAACTGTGAGTTTTATTAAAATGATAATGGTACTGTAATCACATAAGAAAATGTCCATATCATTAATTCTTAGTAATGTATGCAGGGCTGATATGATGTCTGAAATTTTAGAACCATACCTCAGTGGGAAACAATCCAAATTTACACCAACAGAAGAAAAGAGGATATACAAACTATGGTACAGTTACAATGAGGAATATTATAATGCGACTAATACAAATGTATAGCACACATATTAGCTAAATAAATACAAAGTAAAAAAAATGAAGTTCTTAAAGTTACATTTAACACACACTCTTGCCATAGAGTTAAAACATTGATCATAAATATAGTTTTTAGAAAATCACGTAGCTCAACTAGATGAGGTAAGAGTATATGAGCTTTATATCACTTTAACCTCCAAGATCCAAAAGTGTCAATTCTACAGCTTCCCTTCACTCCAGGAAAGGGAGAGAAGGGGACTAGGTTAGGGAGTTAGATGCAGGTTGGTCAAAGGAACTTAAACTTTTTTTTTGCAACAAGTTCCCAGGGTACTTGTTAAAATTAACATTTTTGCTTGGTGTGATAGCATACACCTGTAATCCCAGCACTCTAGGAAGCTAAGGAAAATTATAAATTAGAGCTCAGGCTGGGCAATTTAGTGACTTAAAATAAAAACAAACTTGGTGATACAGGCTCACTGTGAAAGCCTTGGGTTCAGTTCCTCGAACTACACAAAAATTTTATATGACAAATAGAGATGAAAAATAATATCTGAGGGTTGAGGGTATAGCTCAGTGGTAAAACACTTGACTAAGATGTGTGAGGGCCTGAGTACAATTCCCAGCACTGCCTACTCCAATATAAAACCTGACAGCTACAAAGCAGTAAAATTTTTTTTGTCAACCTAGAATTTTTTAATCTAGCAAAGATACTTTGTAAACAATAACTCACTTGGAAAAATGCATTCATTTGGAAGAAAGGAAAGAAATCTCACACAAGTAACATCAAATTCACTAATTCTTTTTATAGCTACAGCAGATCTAGATTTGTAAAGTACATCATCCATTTCTTCTGTTTAAAAAGAATCTTCTGAAATAATGAAATCATAAAGTTAGTCCCTCATTTTATGAGCTACTTGAATTTCAGAATATATTTTCTTATAGAAATGTAAGAAAAACAATTACATTTTAGCTCAACCCAGAAAACCTTTTCTTCACCCATACTATACCTCAAGTATGGATTTAGCTAAGAAAATTATTCTTGGGTAGGAACTTAAGATGTTCTAAGTATATATATATATATATCTTAAAATACTTGAGATGTCTATGTCATCAGGGAGAGGATAGATGTAATGAACGGATCGTCCCTTACTCAAGTGATCTGATTTAAAATCTACTGACCCACTAAAAGCAAACCAGGCTTACATTCAATCTATTGAAATCTATTGTTAATTAGTAAGCCAAAGACTACCACAAACTCTCAATTTAGGAACTATAAACACATAAGAGAATAAAAATACTAGAGTAACATAGCATCTCTAAAAGCTACTGCTAACCAACTCAATGATGTAAAAGTTATATGGGTAATATTTCACTTTATCATCAAGAAGCTTCACATTTACCAAATGTCTCTTGTAATACAATTTACAACTAAAGCAAAGTACTTTTTTTTTAAAGTACTATCTTTTAAAGTGTCTTATCCTAACAAATTAAGAAATAGGTTAGGGCCAGGGATTTAGCTCAGCGGTTCACTGGCTTGCCTTGCAAGTGCAAGGACCTGAGTTCAATCCCCGGTACCAAATAAATATATAAATAAAT